ATTTCTGCAATCTTACGCGAACGACTCTTTACAAGACAGCTAGCGAGCAAAACTTGCGAATTATCTACTTCTCTGGACACTAAGCCATAGAGGAAGACATGTTGGTCGCTCAGCAACGGCCTACATTGACCAACTATGTTACAACAAGGAATTCTACCATAATGACCTTCCGACCTTGATTAGTTGGCGTGATAGACTCATGATTGTTCTAGCTAGATCAACCGAATAAAAAATAAAATAAAATATAATAGTAAATTGTTCAAATTTTTTCAATATCAACATTATCATCATGCCTAGAAGTTGGTGTGTATCCGAGAACCAGAGAAAGAAAGGAATTAAGACTAGTTGGACGTGTTCCGATAGAGATTTCCAAAATGATGAATGAATTTATTGAAGCAAATAGCAATCGTCTTAAAGCGACAGTTGTATTGCGGGCCGGTGTACATGTTGAGAGATAAATACGTGTGTCTCCTGAAATGCCCACAACCAATATGGCAGACTCGGAGTATGAGTCCACCTAAAAAAATGTAAAAACAAACATCAAGGACCAATATATCTGTGTACAAACAAATGATAATGTATTAACAATAAAGGGTTGCATATACAATAGAATATTGTTGTGTTGCTAAACAATGAACATTAATGGAGAAAACATTTAAGCTAATGAATGGTTTGCGTATGTGTAGTTTGATGTAGGAGAAAGTCCTAGAAAAAAATGAAGTGAAAGGTGCGTACGTACGTGCGTGTGTGTATTGTTCATGCGTGTCCCAAAAAGGGAACGCGTTCTTCCGCGAGAAATTTCCATGTTGACGTCTATGCGGAAAAACGAGAAAAAGAGGACGAGAAAAGACATCACCGAGTATTTATAGACCGGAAAGCGTCCCAAGCTAGCGGCTATGAAAATTAGTTCATCGACAGTTGTCAGGAAGCGTAAAAGAGAAGTAGGTCTTTTAGTTCCAGTGAAGCATGCGGCAATGGCTACCAATAAAGAAAACGCCATTATTCTGGACAATGAACTTAAAAAGCAAAGCGTGAAATATAAATACTTTGAAATTAAATATGAGGCTGTGCATGATTTTTAGAAGAAAGCATATTTTGATTAACTTCTTGTTTTTAAACTCCCAGACCCCCAAAAATTGTCCACTTTGGTTTCTCAAATATATTTGTTTAGTCACCCTGGGGCGTTAATTCGAGAACGGCGATAATTCAAGTATTTACGGTAGGCTTCTTGAGATAAAATCATGAGTCAAACACTGAGTCAGAAAGAAAAGTGATTATCATTTCTAACTGGCTTAATTTCTTTTGTTTGTAATTTAAAATCTCATCCTATTGACAATGTTATATGAAAGTACACCTTAATTACTCATAACATAACTCTCTCTCTCTCTCTCTCTCTCTCTCTCTCTCTCATTCCCTTTAACTAATGATTTCACGACATTGGAATTGAGATTCAGTTCACATGTCAAATTGTTATCCCTGGTGATTAAAACTGTCTTGGCTGTTGCTACAAAATCACTGTCAAATTTATCTAATTAATAAACTCTCCGATAGTTGACCTCTTTTAATATGTAAAAGAAACAATTAGAATATGTTAGCAAAAACAACTAAATTAAAACTTGTATGGCCAGTATTTGCTTATTCATATGATGTCATCGCCATGTTTTTTTTTTATCGTGGTTTAAGAGGCAAATATTCTCATAGGCATCGTCATCATCAGTGTTGTTAGAGTGATAAGAAATACTTCAATGCTAATAAATTACTCTCAATAACATGCTTGTTCTTTTTTTATGAGTTCTTAGATTATTATCAATCCTATTTCGTTTTATTATCAATATTTCCTATTTTTTTCTTTTATTTTATATTCATAACTCGTATTTTCTAATATCGATTTCTCTGTTGGGATAACTTTCCTTTCTTTACCCTAATTGGTATACAATGTGTATAGACGGTCATTTTACCTGTAACGGACAAACACTGGAGCCCTGTTTTTTTTTTTTTTTTTTTTTTTTTTTTTTTACAGAGATAGTGTTTTCGTAGATACCGGATAGAAAAGATGCGTTATTGACTCGTCGGTAGACATGGCTTTTTGCAACATGGCGAAATGAAATTGCATTAGTTCGGCTAGAACTAGAAAGAGCACCCAGCTAAGATACCCATATATTATAAACAAAACTCTTACCAGTTCTTTGAGAACTGTTACTTTCACATCTTAAAAAAATCTTTGCATATCTTTATATGAATTAATGTTTTAAAAATATGACTTGTTCTACTCAACGTAATGAAGTTATTGTTAATTGGTTTGAACACAACAATTTACTTTTTAAAATAAAGATTCTGGAGATAAAAACAATACTTTATTTAGTTTTTATACTGATCAGCTTTTTAAGAACCTTTAATTTGTACTGAGTTTCTCATATCAAATGTACTACAAATTCAAGTTAATTTAAATACATTTTATCGATTTTTGAGATTGCTTCAGAATAACTGTTATATACCGTACCTATGAACACTAATGAGTATGTCCCAATCCTCATAAATACGCAGGACACCATTGTAATATGCTGTCTAAGTAGTTCACCACTAGCAATGGTTTACCTACTTCACGCCACTGGCGAGTATTGTATTTTGTTGATGTTATAAAGATTTCATTTCCAACCTCCCTTTTGGTTATTCCTCATTCAGTAACACTTTCTAGGTTACAACAATAACAAAACAAAAGTTCTGAAAGTTTATTCAGTGAAACCTCGGTTCTCGAACGTCTCACGTATCGAACAAATCGGTTTTCTAACAGAAAATTCGAGATGCAAATGCCTCGGTTATCAAACAAAATTTCGGATCTCGAACAACATTGCTGAACCGAGTTAACCCGAACGGAATCATTTCTTAGTCAACCGCCGTGTTGTATACATCCGTGTCTTGTTCTGTGCTTTTCTTTTCCAATTTTATTGTATAGGAGACAAAAAAAAAAAAACCCCAAAAAAACCCCTGAAAAAACCCGTGAATAAAACTGAAGAATAGGAGACGGAATAAAACTGAAGACGGAATAAAACAAAAAAACGTGAATAAAACTGAAGACGGAATAGGAGACAAAAAAAAACCGTGAATAAAACTGAAGACGGAATAGGAGACAAAAAAAACCCGTGAATAAAACTGAAGACGGAATAGGAGACAAAAAAAAAACCGTGAATAAAACTGAAGACGGAATAGGAGACAAAAAACGCGTGAATAAAACTGAAGACAGAATAGGAGACAAAAAACGCGTGAATAAAACTGAAGACGGAATAGGAGACAAAAAAACGCGTGAATAAAACATAAAACTGATAGGCTCCATTCTAATGTGTGTTAGTTGAAGAGCATATCATTTGTAATAATTTAATAACTCTACATGCTTAAAAGCTGAAACTTTGCAGATTAATAATTTGATATTTCTTTTAAAGGCTGTGCAATTTTTATTTTTCTCCACAAATCATAAGTTTATTAAATTTTAAGTTGATATCCACTCAGTAGGAATATCATTTCATTTTTTTCTAATTTTCATTAAACAAACTTTTTATTAACTTATAGAATATGTTCTAATAATGTGTTCACTATAATGTGTTCACTATAATGTGTTCACTATAATTTGAATCCGTTCAATTTGTCCATTTTACTAAATCTTAATTTATGCAGATTTTTAAAGTTTTTCTTCGCAAAAACTACAAAACCAAATGAAGGCAGGGATCGACGAAAAGCATTATTTTTGCTTCATTTAGTTTAAGAGAAAAAGCGTAATATTCCATCAGGATAAATTCAAAATTGTATGTTTCATTGGAGATTAGGCAAAAATTGTTACAATTTAACTGGGAATTTTTCATTCATCCACCGTGTTCAGTAGACATTTATTTTGGTCTGTTAAGACAAATAATTTGAATTGTCTAGAACACCGTAAAAATCCTTATTTGATGCAAAAAAAGATTCTTGGAGGATGGAAATATGAAGCTACTGGAAGAAAGGTTTCTAAGTTAGTAAAACAAAATAGTAAATGTGTTGTTCAGCAAAATTAATGTCCAAAAAAAGAAAAAAAAAAAAAAAAAAAAAAAGAACGAACTTTTAACGCTATTCAATAGCAAAACAGTTCAGAAGCTATAAAATTTTTCAAAAATTGTGAAAAAGTTTTTGGATCTAAATTGAAAATTCTCAACCTATACAAAGTTTAAATTTGTTTCTGGTTAGTTTCTGATGTTGCTTACCAAGTAACGAAACTTTAATATCGCTTTCTTTTATATTGACAAAGTTCTTTTTAGTAGCGTGCCAATTAAAAAAAATACCCCCCCCCAAAAAAAAAACTCAACAACAACAACAAAAAAATAAAATAAAATAAAAAATGATATATCTGTTTTTGCTTCTCAGATATGAGCTCTAAATTTACGTTAAGCCACATATCACGCGAAAAATGCATCAAATTATATTTTAATCGAAAGGTCGAATCAGAATATTTTAATGAATTTAAACGCCGTGACTAGTTTTATTGATGGATAAGAATTGGTATAAAAGAAGAATCGTTGTTTGTTTCTTTAAAGGAATGTGTTCGTCAAGTGTCTTTGCCTCCCATCAATCATTTATTGTTTCAAAAAGTTCTTTCTTTGGTTCTCAGAAATTCCAGACGGACGACTTCGTTGGAATTTAAATGTTTTTTTTGTTTTAACTTTTTTTGTTTTTATTTATAATTAAGTGTTTTCGTATATTATATCGGAAACGTGATTTTTTTTTTTTTTTAGTGAAAATACATTCGATTTTGTTTGTGGGTGTGGGTGTCTGTGTGCGTGCGTGCAATTATGAGTGAAATTATGGTCTACCTGCGATCAGTGAGCACATTCTCTCAATTGTTTTTACGTTATACAAACCGACAAGGATTGGTTAGTGATCTGTTGGTTCTAATACGGTTAGCGTTCCGCCTAACAAGAGAGAACTGTGACAAAACTTACGTGCTCAGTCTGTCTGTCTGTCTGTCTGTCTCTGACAGGAGCATAACGGATGAGACGAAGAGAATGGGTGGTGTGAGTCATCACGAAGAAGAAACCAAAATTATAAGCGGAAAGATAGACAGAGGAATGAAGAAGGGGGTCGAAACCACAAAGAGCAAAATTATAAAAGGAGTGACCAAGACAGAGAACGATAGAGAGTGTGGGAGAGAAAGAGAAAAATAAAGAGAGAGAGAGAGAGAAAATGGGCGGAAAGAAGAAAAAAAAAAAAAGGAAAAAAGCAGAATATAGATGAGCTAGAGTGACAAGTGGTTGACAATTTTGCTCTAGGTGACGTTCCTCTTTCCAGGTCGTTCTTTATTCATTTCTTACTCAGTCGGGTAACTGTAGTCGAACTGACAACATGAAATCCCCTGATACCTGTATTCTTACATCTGCTCAAAGGAAAAACAAACTGTGAAAGGCTGACGAAAAGTGAAAAGAAAGAAAGAAAGGAAACGAAGCCAACAAACTTAGGATCGAACTTTGGAGCGAATTCCATTCACAAACTGGAAACACGTATTGACATAGAACCACTCAAATAAATAAAAATAATCACCTTTCGTTGTAAAATAATTTAAAACCCTGGAAATGTGCCTTCCGGAAAGAAAAAGGATGATTTAAAAACCTATGCCAAACATTTTTCAGGAAAAGGTAGGAAGAACTGTATTTTAAATTTTGATTCCTTTTTTTTTTTCCTTTTTAGAATCAAATTACCCATAAGTTTGAAACATAACACACTGAAAAGTATCATAGAATTTGTCCTTGCTAAATAATAGATATTAGCAAAAGATTAAATAAATAAAACAATTTAAAAACCTAAAAATGTGCACTCCGTAAAGAAAAAGAATGATTTAAAACATTGGCCAAACAACTATTCTACAAAAGGCAGGAAGAATATCTTTAAAATTGATTAATTTCTTTTCTTTTCTTCTTTTAATTAAATTATTCTGCAAATCTAAGTCACAATAGCTGAAATGAACACTATCATAGAATTTGTCCCTGTTAAGCTATCATAAATATTAGCAAAAATAAGTTTTTAAAAAATATGCTTCTCCTTATACAAGAGAAATGCTGTGGGAAATATCCGAGATTTAATAGAGCGAAGATTTGATAAAGTAGAGATGGAAAATGGTAGTCACTCATAAATTGAAGAAAATTTGGGAGCGTGATTTGGCGAATACTTTTTGACTGAATTTTTCTACCTGTGTTAAACTTCAATGAAAAGATCACGAAACCTTAATAAGAGGGGATGCTGAAAAGTTCTAAGCTCAACCCACCTTCTAAAATCGAATGAAATGACCAAACATCGGAAATTATTTTGGAATGCCTTCTTGATCAGGCCGATAACATTTCAGTACAGCCTCGTATTTAACGAAGTTTCCGCTTAACTTGGAAAAACAACAAAGTTAACGCATAATTTTTATTAGACAATAAGTTTATCTCTTTACTTGAGATCGATTGAACCGTAATCGTCTGTTTTTCTGATTTTTATTATCTGACTTTTTTTCCTTTTAAAATATGCCATGCTTTAAGTTTTAATGTTTCTTCCTTAATACATTTTTATTGAAAATGCATTTGTATGTGCGTTGGCAAGATAGAGTAAAATCCTATTTGTAAGGTAAAAAGAAGAAAGTACAATAATATCCGAGATTTAATAGAGCGAAGATTTGATTTCGTTGGATTTCTCAATAAATCATTGAAGCTGCTGTCAAGTTGTTTAATTCGTTCAATCCTACAAACTTCAAATATAGAGAAATACGTTTAAAAAAAAAAAGGCAACAGAAAAAAAAAAAATTATCGCCGTCAGACTTCCTTATTTTCTCTAACGCAGCCAATGAAAATGTGTGACAGTTATTTTAGCTTTTTGTTTTGGCATATTCTCATCAGCGAGGTAATTTTTATTCTATTCATAGGCTTGTCGCAAAAAAAAAAAAAATCAAAACATTCGCATCTCCTTTGATATTAACTAATTTTAATGTGAAATTCTTACTTAAAGGCCGCCCCCACTCAAAACACTGTCTATCCCACACTTTTCAAAATGAATACAAGCAACTTTGTTCCGTAATTATTGCTATTGTTAATTTGTTAGCATTTTGTTTTTAAGATTAATTTAATTGCGTGTATGTTTAACTACGTTTTTCATCGAAATCAAAACACCAGCCCAAATGTTTAAGAGAGTAAAGCTAAAGCAGTATAACGACATTTCGTCAAGAATGGGTGGTTTACAAAGCAAAAATATTTCATTGTATTTAAATCCCAAAAAGCTTTTTTTTTAACCTTGTCTTTATCTTTACAAATCTAAAATTAAAAGAACGTCGTATAAAAATGTCTTTTAGCCTGCATCAGATTTCATTGTTTATGGTTATTATTTCTTAACGCCATACAATAAAAAGGAAGAGTTCAACAATTTTCAAAAGCATTTTTAAAAACTATAGATTAATCGTTTGAGATAAAACAAATACAAGTAAATTAACTTCTGACATAGAAGTAGTTAGGTTTGCCTATCACCTTGTACACAATCCTTCGCCCGTCTTTTGAACAGGAGCAGAGGTTTATTTCTTGTTTCCTGTTTAGGGTTGGGTTTTTCCGATTCCTTCTATTAAATTCTTTTTCACTCCTTTTTGGCTCCTTGAATCTTGGTGGTGTTATCGCCTAGCTTGGGGTGAAATATTTAAGAAGAAAGATTATGAATTAAAAAAAAAAGTTGTGCATACAGAGATTAATATGCATCTGTCAACGACATACGTCTTCGCACGAAGATTTATTTTCTTTTTTACTATGATGTTCACCCTGTGCAAAGCTCAAGAGCCACTCGAGGTAGAGGGTTACAGAGTAAGAGGTACAGCTAATGCAGATGTGTGAGGAACCCTAGACTTGAACAAGTTAAGGTTGTAGTGATCGGGGAAGCATCCTCTTGGGAGTCGGTTGCGCAAAGTATCGGTTCATGAGAAGAAGCTACTCGAGTGGAACTTGCACCTCACCAATATTAAGGAAATCTCACCAATGCGAAAGGGTTAGCTACAATTTGTGTGGCATGCCGGGTCTTAGCCGTGAAGTTTTGAACTGGTGGAACTAAGGAATGTACTTCGACTGAATACATTTCATGGAAATAGCGATATAGCGGCTTGCGACGTTATGTCTGTGGGAAAGGGGTTGTAGGGAGGAAAATAATTAATCACCCACAAGGACGTGGAAACGCTTTTGGACTATCGAGACTAGTATGTGAAGACTGGGTAGTTCCTGTCCGTATATGGCAGTAGAACTTACCGGAGAGTTGCAGAGAATCGACCATTTTACTAGAATCTTTAGTGATAAATCGTATGTACGAGTTCCAATCGAGATTTGGGTTGAGTTTGTTCCTATAGGCGTTCAAGACGCGGGGGCATCGATGTTTATTTATTGAATATCTGTAGAAATTATATTGTACTATTAAAAATGCCTAGATCAAAGTACATACTACTTTATAGTAACTATGACTATTCCCATTTAGCTAAAAGTCGCCAGGTGTTCGTGATATTTACTAAATCAGGATACGAGAAGATTCGGCTATTAAATAAATAAAATAAAATAGAATGAACAAAAAAATTAAAAAAGCAAAAATAATCTTACGATATTACATGCCAAGTGTATTTGTATATTTTTTGTTTGTAATTTTTAATGTCGCCAGTGCAATATATATATATATATATATATATATATATATATATATATATATATATATATACCTTGCACTGCAGACATTCGGTGACAGTGTCTTTGTTATGACAATATCGAACAATTCGAAGATGCTTACGAAACAGAGAGATAATAAAACCGACCTTGAAAAAAAGCAAATAATAATAATAATAATGAGGTTACTATCCTCTGGAATTTCAGCATCCAGACTGATAGGTAAATCCCGGAAAATCGACCAGATATAGCTGTGAAAAATCATGTTGAAAATACATGTCTCCTGATAGATGTTGCAGGCCCAGCCAACAAAAACACATCTTTGAAACTATTCGAGAAACTATGTGAATATAAGGACCTCGAAATAGAAATCAGTAGAATGAGACATCTCAAGATAATGTTACCTGTTACGGCTTTGGGGTGGTTTTCTGAAGGAGCAAAGAAATATAGATCGACTTCCTGGCAGCCCCAAAATATGTGAGTTGCCAAAAATCAAACTCATGAGTCCTCACATTTTGCATAGATTTCTTTCCATTCAGTGACCAAAATCACATATTTTTTTCTCCCTGATTGCATGGCACCTCATCTGCTTGCATCTTCTGATACAAAAGAAATTTCTGCCTCTTGAAGTTCGTGGTTGAGACTTGGAAGCAACTCGTTCTCCACAAAGCACAATAAGAAAATAGTCTCTATTGACTTAATAGTAAAAGGATAAATGATAGTAAAGACTTCTACTTATACCAAAAACCTACGAAAATATTAAATTAAAAACATTAGAAATATTACAATCTAAAATAGAAAAGAAAGAAATAGATATAAACAGAATTAGATAGGTATATAGTCATGAAAATAAAGAAAGAAATAGACAGCAACATAATTAGATAGATATGAAAATAGATATGGAAAGAAAGAAATATCAACCGAATTAGATTGATGGATGGACATGAAAAGAAAGGAATAGATATCAACAGAATTAGATAGACATTAAATAAAGAAATAGATTGCAACAGAATTAGATAGATAGATAGATAGATAGATAGATAGATAGATAGATAGATCTGAAAATAAAGAAAGAAATAGCTAGCAACAGAATTAGATAGACATTAAAATAAAGAAATAGATAGCAATAGAATTAGATAGATAGACAGACCTGAAAATAAATAAAGAAATATATAACAACAGAATTAGATAGACCTGAAAATAAAGAAATAGATATCAACAGAATTAGATAGACCTGAAAATAAAGAAAGAAATAGATAGCAAAAGAATTAGATAGACATTAAAGTAAAGAAAGAAATAGATAGCAACAGAATTAGATAGACATTAAAATAAAGAAATAGATAGCAATAGAATTAGATAGACAGACAGATAGACCTGAAAATAAATAAATATCAACTGAATTAGAAAGATATGAAAAGAGATAGATATGTAAAGAAAGAAATATTGTCAGAATTAGATAGACGGATGGATAGATATGAAAAGAAACAAAGAAGTTTCATGAGCTTCAGCAGTAAAATGATTGTAGCACCAGTACTAAGCAGTTCTCACAACATATTAAATTAAAATTAAAAACATTTCAAAGGTAGTAAAATTAATTGGATTCAAAATATTTACCTGATTTTTAAAAAATGTTTCTCTCCTTTCAGTTTAATTTTCTCTAACCTTCGATATTCAAAATCTACAATCATTTTAAAGAATGTTTTCAAAAGCTTAAAGTGAAAATCCGTGGGTATTTGATTTACAAACATTCGAAACAATTTAGGATGGAATATTAATCGCGCTCTCAAATATTTAACTATCAGATAAAACGTTTGAATGTTAATTATAAATAATTCGTTTGTTATTAATTGATATAATTACACAGATAAATATTTTTCTGTCCTGATAACTCCTGCCGCGAGTACTGAATTTGTAGGAATATTATTTGATGATCAGACGATTAATTTTTAAAGTTGTCTCATATACTTTTTTTACTCATAATAATAATCGACTTTTGTTATTAAGAATTGTAAGTTTTAATCAACAAACTCAATAGAGTTTGTTGATTAAAACTTACAATTCTTAATAACAAAAGTCGATTATTATTTTATGAAAGGAACGCAAGTTTGAAGACTTTATTTTAATAATTTTTACTCCCGGTTACGTCCGCATAGAAATAACGGAGCAAATATTGATTTTTTTGTGTCGGTGTTTTTTACGGCTTGTTTTATTCGTGTTTATTTTCTATCTTTTTCAGCTTTCTTTTGGAATTGTGGATTTTTTTATACGAATAAATAGTAAGATATCCTCTTTTATAATATCATGTTAAAAATCGGAGCAATACTTTAATAATTAAACGTTTAGCGTTTGTGGAAAACCTACTTTCGTCTGCACGCGCTTCTACATTCTTGTGTATTTTGAGTTTTTTCTGGAAAAAAAAAATGGATCAATCGTCGAAGAAGGCAAGTCAAATACAAGAAGATATTCCCCAAAAGAAATACTCATCACCCAAGTCTCACTCAAAAATGAACGATGCTTGCATCATGGAGATGACATCCTCAACAATCGGGAAAAATTGTGAAGTGACCGCAAATTCACCGAGAAGAGACGCCACATTCCATTCACTGGATTCTTTGAGCAGGATTTCTTATCCTCGAGCACAACCTAATGAGTATGAAATGTTTTACAGGACACCAATAACAAGTTCCCAAACTTCAATAAACGACCCTTTGGCCAACGGGATCAAAAACAAAGATAACCATCAAAGTGAGCAACTTCGGACTGAGATGACGGACTCTGATGGATTGTGCACTTCGGACAGTTATACAGCTTCATCGGAACTTTCAGAGTCAAAATATGACGCATCATCTTTGACTCATCCAACGTCACGGTTGGCCCAACGACATCAAGAAAGAAAAGAACAATATTTACTTGAGCAACAACAAGGGAAGCGGTTCAGTGAGCAATATCCTCAAGTCTCAAGTTCTAATACAGATGAATACACTCCAATTTCAAGTTTGTGCTACGACCCGGAGAAATCCTCAATGTCTAAGTCTTCTTCCCATTACCATTCTTGTCGGAAGTATGAGGATTATTTGGAAGCAAGCCGCGTTATAAGATCGACTGACTCACAAAGTACAAGTCCTTATGAATCAATGGAAGATAGTGCCTCTAAACGTCGTAGTGGGGATGGAACCTTACTTTCCGCAGGTCTAAATCGAACCCGGGAGCAACGTGTACAGAGATCATCCCAGAATGAAAACTATCGTCACAAGAACAGAAAATCAATGGTAAGAAAAATTTGTAATCCTTTCTTGTTTTTCTCCTTTTGCATAACAAATAAAAGTGTCGGCATCATAAACTCATATCCTTCTGGATAAAGTTTAAAATGACGCCTTCTTTTTTACGTAGATCTAGGCTATAATTATAAACTATAATTTTGAAAGGTGAAAATTTCATTAATGTATATTAGAAACTTTCAACGTTTCAATCTGAAATCAGGAAAATATGAACTTTAAGCAAAATTGTCACAATATATGGAAAAAAATTAATCGTCAGATTAAACTGACGCCAGGAAGATATAGTTTTAGATATTTAGCTGTACGTCCATAAAGCGTGATATTGAATTATTTTCTTTAATTTCACAAGTTAAAATATCGGTTTTTAAGACTTGGAGATCTTACACAAATTGTGATAAAAAAAAAAAACACAATGAAATCAATTTGAATATTCTTTTTAAACTCAATTTGATCAATTTGGATACTTGTTTTTGTAAATACAGTAAAATGTCGGTTATCTGAATTTCAGAGTATCGTATAAAATTTCATGGTCCCGTGAATATTTCATTTGACGATTTTGTCCCGTGTACAAATCTTTTTACAGGTGGTTGAATGTACTGCTGTTCTTATGTCCGTAAACAGAAGGCGGTCGGTCGGCTTGATGACAATCAATCTCTTAATCTTGTAATTCCCAAAATAAAATCCGGTATTATAAAAATAAAAATTCGATATTAAAAGTGTAAAACATCCGGTATTATTTATAGTTTTCTAAAATATAAAAATCCTGTATTAATTATAGGTTTCTTTTTTAAAAAAATCCTGTATTAATTATAGGTTTCTTTAAAAAAAATCCTGTATTAATTATAGGTTACTTTTTAAAAATCCTGTATTAATTATAGGTTTCTTTTTTAAAAAAATCCTGTATTAATTATAGTTTTCTTTTTAAAAATCCTGTATTAATTATAGGTTTCTTTTTTTAAAAATCCTGTATTAATTATAGTTTTTTTTTTAAATCTTGTATTAATTTTAGGTTTCTTTTTTTAAAAATCCTGTATTAATTATAGGTTTCTTTTTTTTTTTAAATCCTGTATTAATTATAGGTTTCTTTAAAAAAATCCTGTATTAATTATAGGTTTCTTTTTAAAGAAAATCTTGTATTAATTATAGTTTTCTTAAAAAATCCTGTATTAATTATAGGTTTCTTAAAAAATCAGCTATTAATGTTTAAAAAAATTCTAAATATATAGGTTTATAAAAATTCAGTATTTCTAAAAAAAAAAAAAAAATGGAATTCTAGTTTTATAATAATTCGGTATTAATTTTCCATTTAAGTTTCTATTTATAAGCCTTTAATACAGTTAAAATAGTATTGAAATAATTTAACACGTAAATAGAAAAGAAATTAAAATAAAAGATTTCAACGTCTAACAAAATTTGTAATGGTGTCTTCATGAATGTTACGACTTTGTTTCTATTATTAATTATGAAATTTATTACTGTTTCCGTGTCTGTGAAGAGAAAGTGGTCGTTCAACTTGATGACAGTCGGCCACTTTAAACAGTATTGAGATAATTTTAACATAACAAATGAAAGGAAATTAAAAAAAATGATCGATGGCCACCTTGGTGAACATTATTTACACAAACGTCCTCGAAATATTCAGTGCCCTTCATGTGTACATACTCGGTGGTAAACCTAAATTGATGCGGGAAATGTTATGCCCAAATCACAGAGAATGCGGTGAAAATGAGCAATATAGTGAACCTCTTCCCAGCAGTTATCTTCCCCAATGGGATTGTTCAATGGCAGATCATCACAAGCGGTAGGTAATTATAGGAGATTGCTTGTATAAAGAGGTAAAAATCTAACTCTGGTATTAAAAAGCACCAGCAAGATGAGTGCAGTTTGAACTAAGAATTCATATTTTCATGGTTAACATTGATTCTAGCATAAGAGCTGAGGGCTATTAAGCCATGTACTTACTGAAGGATTCGAAGATTCAGCTCCAAAAATAGTTGTTTATGAATAGATTCTGATGACCTCAGCGAACCCGTACAGCTAGGTACACCATCTTCTCCACCGTCATCTTTAATCAATGACAGTTACATTTATGGAAATGCTTATAAGGGCATATTCTAAAGTCAATAAGTACTTCAACCCATTGTCCTTTTTAAAATCATTTCACTCCAATCAAGATTGGAATGCCACTAGTACGCAGCGAGTTATAGGGAGTGAAAGTGAAAGTGAAAGAGAAGACTGAGATTGAGGAAAGGACAAAAATGAACGGGATTTAAGAAGACACAAGATGGCGATTGATGTTGTATTTAGATTTTTGAAGATTGTAGTTATCAGGGAAGCAAGTAAGCGGAAAGAAGTTCCACAGGTTGGAAGTACAAGGAAAGGAACTGTTGGAATAGAAGTGGCGGTTGCATTTAGCTATTACAACGCTAAAAGAGCGGGACCTAGATGCCAATCTGGTAGCACGCCTAAATTCATGTACTTGAGGCACCAGGACAAAAAGCTCGTCAGAGCAGTTGCCATAGAAATATTAGTAGAAAGGACAAAGGGAAGCCACGCCACGTCGGTTAGAAAGTGACTGAAGTCGACATACCTGATATTATTATTTCTATCACTAAAATAGCTTTATTTTAATAACAATTTTAATTTAAAATTTAAATGTAAAAGAAAACACAATAGATTTTGGCGAAAAAATATTGCTTCAGGAACCTTCTATGACTTGGGGCATTGAAACTTAAACTTCATTTGTTTCAGTGTTGATACCTCAATGCACTTACGTAGATGTATTTTTATAATTGCATTATAATTCCTTAAACTTTCAGCTATATATTTTTGTTATTTAAACCACAGATAACGTGATTTTATTTGTAAAATAGAACATCACGTATTTTTAAGGAAATAATCCCTGTTTTTAAACATTTTATCAATTGAATCATTGCAAACCATTTAAAACTGCTTTTTTACGAGTTCATATGGGCTCCCGTTTTTAAGGATCGGGTCAGTTGTCTAAGCAAACAATTATAGAAATAAAATACTACTCGCCTGTCTCGTTTAAATAACTGTGATTCCACTGTACATTATTTATATAAGCTTTTTTCTCCGTTCACTGCAGGACTCAGAAATTCCTCAAGTCCATAAGACATAGGGAATAATAGCGCTTACCCTCCCACGAGAACTCCTGATATGTTAGAAGGGAATTTGAATTTAGAGTAATTCTCCTAGAA